TGACATTTGAGGGAATCTGTTACTGTCCACAAAAAGGAGCCCATATTTTAAATCTTTCATTATTCATTCCTTATTTCAGAATCCTTTCATATCTCAGGAAATTCACATCTATTTTAGGATTTTTTTTTCTTTTTTCACAAGACTGCAGAGTAAGAATGAACTTATACCCACATTTATTGCAACTGTCTACAGATTTTAGATTTCTCCAGCAAGCCTCCTTTCTGCCCCATTTTTATTCATTCTTCTTATGCTTAAGAAATTAAGGCTAAGGCTGGGGCTGGGGCTCAATGGCAGAGCACTTGCCTAGCATGTGTGAGGCACTGGGTTCGATCCTTAGCGCCACCTATAAATGAACAAATAAAATAAAGGCATTCTGTCCATCTACAATTACAAAAAGAAAAAGAAATTAAGGTTATAGGGAACTGGAGTTATAATTCAGCGGTAGAGTGCTTGCCTGCACATGTGAGGCATTGAGTTAGATCCTTAACACCACATAAAAATAAATAAAATACAAGTATTGTGTCCATCTACAACTAAAAAAAAAAATAAGGATAGGATTTTCCTAAACCATGATATAAGTCTCTACCACAATTTCACACAACTACAACCTTTGGTTTGGTTTCTCTACTTCTGAACCCTGAGGAATGTATTTCACTTTATCTTTCCACTCACATACATCAGTACATGATTCAACCTAAGTTTCAAGTTATTATATGATGAGTTTTATTTTAACATTTTCTTTTCTCAGATCTTTTGGCTTTTTAGTTGTTAGACTTCATTTTTAACCGAAATCATACTGCATTCTCAGACCAAAATTGCTTTCTTAGAAATTAGTACTTTCACTATACCCTCAACATAGCAAACTCTTTATTACATGAGAATGTGAATGCCTGCTATGTGCCTGGGACTAGAAGTTTAATACAGTACCTGTCCCAAGCAATAGCCTGAAAGCATGTATCTATTAAACAGAAAGGAGTCAGGGTTACATAAAGTATAATCAATGCAATTCAGAACTTCTGCAGGAACTACATTTTGGGTAATTATGCTTTCTAGAAAATATATTGCTTATACTTTAAAGTAACAAAAATTATGGTGGCACAGATCTGTAATCCCAGCTACTTGGGAGGCTGAGGTAGGAGGATCATCTGAGCTGAGGAATTCAAGACCATCCTAGGCAACATAGTGAGATCCCATCTCAAAAAAGATTAAGTGATGGCCAGGCATGGTGGAGCATGCCTGTAATCCCAGCAACTTGGGAGCCTGAGGCAGGAAGATCACAAGTTTGAGGCCTGTTTCAGCAACTTAGTGAGAACCTGTCTTAAAATAAAAAACAAAAAAGGCTGAAAAACAGATCACCAAGCAGTGGTAAAGCACCTGGGTTCAATTCCCAGTACAAAAAAAAAAAAAAAAAAAAACACTAAAACTAAGAAATAAATATTTTTTTAAAAAATGAAAAAGAAAAAAGATTAAGTTAATAAAAAATTATATTTTGGATAGAAAGCTAAAATATATTTATAAAATTTCCTCCTTTTATTAATGTTATATGGAACATAATCTTTATTTAATGGCTAAAAGTCATTATAAACAAATTATAGCACTAAGATATAGTACAATGATGTGTGGGCCTACTTAGGTGTATAGGGTTATAAACATCTATGACAATAACTTTGAAAGACTGGGGGACTGAGAGCTGGGTTTCTTTTTTTGGTCAATCTCTCACACAGACATACCACACTACCATAACCTCAGTAAGACCACAGTGGGAGAGGGCCTAATTCTGAGAACAGCATCTACAATGTGCTAGGTCTACCATAAATTTTACAGGGCAGCTGGCAATCACTTGGCCAGACGCAAAGTCAATGATGAATAAACATTGGTTTAACAAATGGCATTAATATGTCTGCCTGAGCAGGTCCTCTCCCTTATTGCTTCTAATCTGCCATGGTGGGAAAAACAGATCACCAAACATGAAAGAACACTAGGTAAAATGTGCCTGGCACAGTAACCTGCACATGGCAGGTGCAACATGGCAAAACTGTATGTGATAAGCCAAAGATGGCTACCAGTGAGAACTTGAATGTACTAGAAATTGTGATAAGCCTGTTACATATACTATCTCAGACATTACTATAAGGCAGGTAATATTATCCCCATTTTACAGACATAGAAATTGAGGCTCAAAGTGGTTAACTTGTAGAAAGTCAGTACAGTAAACAAGTGAGGATCAGAAAAACAGGACAACTCTTTTGTTCCTTGTAGAAGTCATCTTGACTGACTTTCTGATTCTCAGGTATACTCTGAAAGGTGAGGATTTCTGACTACACTCAGAAAGTAGAAGCTCAGGAGATCTATGTTTATTAGGATCACCAGGAAGGACTTTAAGAAGACTTAAGCCAAAGCAGTATAGAAAAAAGAGATGGGCTAAGAGAAGGCATTTTGGAACTTAATTATAACCACAAAACCTTTGTGGAATAAAAGAAGGAGATGATAAACACATGAATAAACACACGTGTTTGAAACATCTATACCCACTGCAGCTGTAAGCTCCTCAAATAGTTGAACAAAGGTAGGTACAACAGCTGAGACAAAGGCCAGATGTGAAGCTATAATTCCACAGCTCTCATTAAATAACCCAGGGTCCTTGTCAGAGAGGGGGGTGGGGGTTGGGAGCATAGAGGAATCACCTCTACTATTTCCAAACTTACAAAAAGAAAGACAAGCTGGGGCTGGGGTTGTGGCTCAGTGGTAGAGCATTTGTCTAGCATGTGTGATGGACTAGGTTCGATTGTCTCAGCATCACATAAAAATAAATAAATACATAAATACGTAAATAAATTCAAGGTCCATCAACAACTAAAAAGAAAAAAAATTTTAAAAAAGACTGGCCTAGGGATTATTAAAATGCATGGTCTCATTTGCTCAGAAATCTTTCACAAAGTTTAACCAGAGTTTTCCTCTAATTAATGACACACCTAATATAACAAGTGCCTGAAGATCCTCCTTACCCCTAGCAGTCACAGGAGCCGGGGGCTGGGAAACTCGGGCATCTATGGCCTCTACAACAGACACAGGGCAAGTCAGGAGTCAGCTCTCCAACTCTGGGGAGGGGAGACACACCCACAGCTTATGGTAGAGACTGGACAAACCATCAAGAGGACCAAAGTAAAAATACTGTGCTCATCAGGTTTCCTTGTCTTAACTACACGGTGGCTAAATCCTCAGCAAAAAATTCAACAGTATCTGAATGAGAGCATTAAGAATAACTCGACCTGTACTGAAGAGAGAGAAAGATGTTCACTAAGCTTTAGCAACTCTCCAAATGCCATATCACCAATTCCAGAGAGAAAGATGCTCCTCCAAACCTCCATGTCTTTCCCTTACCTCTCAGACATCAGAACTGCAGAGGGTCAAACAATCTAGGTAGGATTCAAGACCCAGGACATACATTCAACATACATTAATGAGCACCCGTGGGTCATCAGGCATTAATCTAAGAACAGGAGTATTAATATAAGAAACACTTGTCACTCAGATAGAATTATACCAGTCATTATTATTTACCTTTATCTGGCCCAAATACTCAAGAGTCCAAGTAAGAAGTTGTGCCCCACAAGCACCAAATAAATCTCCTTTCTCATATCTGATTCTGATCATGGTGTGCCCACTTGGAACCTTCCCACCACACTTGATCTTACAAACCCTCATATCTTCAAGGCCAGCTTAACTCCCCCTCCTCTAGAAGACCCTGATCTCCCCCACATTCCAAAGTGATGTCTCTGTTCTCCAAACTACCAAAAATTATAGTAACACTACCAGATTATTCATAAATTGACTGTTCTCCAAATGATAACTTTTATTTATTCAACAAATCTTGAGTACCTACTATGAGCCAGCACTGTTCTAAGGGCTAGAGAAACAGCAGCAACAGTAGCATATTTTTCTTCTCCAAAGGCAGCTCCTGGGGAGGGTTCTACTCTTGCCTTCAAAAACCTTCCTGTAAAGATCTGGGTTGGTACTCCGTGCTTAATACCTAATGATTTATGAGAGCCTGGGGCTTTTTTGGTCCAAGCTCACACAAACCGAAGTTACATAAACTAATGGGGAACAAAAGCTACCAAAGCCATTTCTAAATGAACTTCCACTTCTTAAAAACCCCAGAAGAACAAGGAAGGAAAAGAAAACAGGCTATGAAAGCACTGCTGAACCAACATATTTTACTCACGCTGACAAAGCACCTCCAATCCCCCTTCCAAGCCACACAAAAGTGATCTTTTCCCCTCAAGCCTTGCAGTCCCAGACTCAAGTGTTTATTTCAACAGATCTCGGAAAGTTTAAAGCACTTCTCAGTTTCCTAAGCAAGACTTTCTGAATATTTCTTAATGGATAAGCCCCCTAATGAATCCTGCATATGCCGCTTAGACTAATCCAGTGAGGTTGACAACAAGGAACTACAATTTGAGCTTCAAGCACTAGAGGGGCTCAAAGATGAACACTTAGAATGGGGTAAACCCAGGGACGATTTTAATATAAACAAAAGTCCAGTCCCGTAGAGCTCGGTCGAAGGTTCCAAGTTCCTAAGAGAAGGAAATCAACAGAATTCCCTCCGGGTAGCCGCAAGACTCTGCAAGGCGTGCGAGTATCTGCAGGAGGCGAGGGAGATTTGAGCTGTGTATGTTTGCTCTAAGGTGGCTTTTGTGAGAAACGACAGCTGGCACCTAGAGCAGCAAGGGTGAAGCCGGGCTGTGCCATGCGGCGGAGGCTGCCACCTGGGCACTCCCACCATTCTTCGCAGCGGGGTCAGCACGCGAAACCAGGAGAGCCAGGCTCCGAGCGGACCCGCACCCGCGCCCCTTCGGGCTCCCGGCTCCGAGGGTCCTCGCCCCGGGACACGACGCAAGCCCACCCCGCCCGGGTCCCTGGAGCCACTACCTCTCTGGGGACCCAAGAGACCTGAGGGGGAGCGGGTCTCCAGGCGTCGGCCCGGCGCGGCGCGTACCCACCTGAGCAGACTGGAGAGAGGGTGGCTGGAAGAGCCGAGGCCGCCGCCGCCCCCGCCGCCGCCGCCGCCGCCCCCGGAGCCGCCGCCGCCGCCGCCGCCCCCGAAGCCCGAGGAGAGCCGCTTCCCGGACAGCAGCTTCTCCACGGCCGGGAGGTGCCCGGTGCGGGCCGCCTCCAGCAGCTCCTGCTCCTTCCCCATCCCCAGGGCCGCCACCCCCTGGACCCCCTCCCCGGGGCCGCCGCCAAGCCTGCACGGGCTCCCAAACTTTCCGTCTCCGGGCAACGCACCCCCCAAACCGGCCGGGGACACCACCCCCCTCCCCCCCCGCCTCTCCCCCCCCCGAGAGCGCGTCACTTCCGGGATCTGGCGTCACGCGTCACCGCGCCCCCGCGCCCCGCCCCCTTGCCCACCTAGCTGGGCGGGGCTCCGCGGGCCCGCGCAGGTGGACTTGGCTGTTCTGCGACCCGCCGGGCAGAGCGAAGTGTCAACGTCACGCGTGGGCACCACTGAGCAGGTGGAAGAGAACAAACGGGGCCCACCTGTACGCGCCTCCAGAAGCGCGCTCCTTCCCCGAAGGTTTCAGGAGCTCACGGGACTGGAAATACGGTAATTCGTCCAGGCAGTACAGAAACAAAGAGAGAAATATGGTAACGCGCACCCGCATTTCCTAGCCCATTCAGCACACTACATTAAGTATGTTGTAGATGCGGAGACCTAGTGATACACAGGTGAATAAAACGCCCAACTCGTATCTCAATGTTGGAAGACAGGAAATTTTTAAAATAAAAAATATCATTGCCACTCCATGAAAAGATTCATTTAAGTGAAACGTGCAAAAGAGAGACCTCCCTCTTTGTAGGCTTTCTTCCTAGTTTTGATGAAATTAACCAAACTAATTTTTAAAAGAAAAAGTCAGGTTTGTAAAACCACACTCGATCTTAAGTTTGGTTACTACTGCTGAGCTGGAGAAAAAAAGAAAAAGAAAGTATGAGATTCAGTAGAAATTGTCTGTCGATCCACGATACTAGCAATGTTCCTGACTCGAAGTAAGCGATCAATAGTTGTGGAGTGAATAAATGAATTAGATTAATACTGCTTCGGCTCTCCCAGTCCCTCTCCCATCTCCACTCCCGCCTAAGTGGTAGCGAAATAGAAAGGAAATGCTAACCATTCAATTGTAAATACAGGCCTGCGGCCACCGTCTAATTGGAAGGTACATGCCTGAATCCCTGCTTAAAAGTTTGCCAGCCAAAGGTAGCTGCATTCCCCGACACCAACATGCAACGGAACTGAGTTTTAACCCCGTCCCCTAACTTTACTCTGAGGGAGAGAGGCTAAGGAAGGGGTTAACATTATATTATTAGAAATGCGGAAAGGAAAAAAATGAGTCTTTCAGTGAACAAAACTACTCTCCCTCACAAATGCTGGTTTTCTAGAGAGGAGAATGCACACTTCCTATTTTTCTTCTTCCCACTACCACAAAGCCAGAGCTCTTCAAGTCATTTAGCGCGCTTCAAAATGACCCCTCCGCTGAGCTGTAGGGGTGATGTCATCGCAGCGCGACAGCAGGAAGTAAGCTCCTGACCTACTGTGCAGCGCCGCACCTGACAGCTCTGAGATCTCTGCTCCAATCCCGGCGGCGATGGACAATGCCCGAGAGTCGCCGGCGGACAAAGGTGGAGAGACAGGGGAGTCAGATGAGACGACCGTTCCTCCCGGTGTCCCCGGGACTACCGACAACGACGGAATCCCAGAGGAAACGGATGGAGACGGAGATGCGGACTTGAAAGAAGCCGCAGCCGAAGAAGGCGAGGTAGGAAGATGTGTTGAAGCTGGAGAAGTAATCCGAGATTATGTTACTGTATAGAAACAAAGAGAGAAATATGGTAACGCGCACCCACATTTCCTAGTCCATTCAGCTTGCCCTTCTTCCTGGGTTAGTCTCTGCCAAACTAGAAGAACTCAAACTCACCACGACTCTTAAGTCGGCGATCTCAAGGTGGGTAGGAGGGGACGACAGAACTCTAGAGCTGCTGCGAGGCCAAGCACTGGGTTTGTATTTTTGATCACTGCCTTTAAAGCTACTTGTAAGGGAATTCAAATAGCCTCGTGGTTTTCCTAGAATCAGATATCACACTAAGATTTAGTGCAAGAACTAGAACCCAAGATTCAGAGCATTCCTTCCACCACAATATGGTCCCTCTTAGATGTTGTTTAAGCAGTTTTTGTCTTTAAAGGTGGCAGAGTCGCTCAGGTCCATTAAAGGGAGTTTTTTTTTTTTGGATTTTGGTTTTAGTTTTTTTGTTTTGTTTTGTTTTGTTTTTGTACTGGGGGTTGAACACAGGGGTACTTAACCACTGATCCCCACCCTCCGTCCCCAGCGGTTTTTTGTTGTTGTTGTTGTTTGTTTGTTTTTTAATTTTGAAACGGAGTCTTAACTAAGTTGCTGAGAGTGCCCTCTTGCATTCATCCTACCTCAACCTCCCCAGGCTGTTGGCTTACAGGCCTCTGCCCACCCCACCTGGAAAAAGGGAGGTTTTGAAAGAGTTAATGGTTAAATCATGTTCTTACCCTTTTGGACATTTAACTGTTATCAGTGACATGGATACTAATGTCCAGGGCTAGCAACAGCATTAAAACCCCAGAGTAATCACTTGTGCCACCCATAAGCTCAGCAATATTGCCTAGCTAAGCATCAGTCAGGAGATCAGAATCTCAGCATTCTCTGAGTTCCATTTCTGGAGGTAGAATCTCTGAGTCTTAGAATTAGGAAGGACTTAAGAAATCAGGAAGTTAGCATTAAATTAGATGGAAATAGACTTTCAGAACATAAAGTTACAACAAATATATAAAGTAAGAACTTATAGAAAAAGAGAAAAATGTGCCCAAACTACGTGAACAAGGAAGCTTTAAACAGGTCTCAAGGACAGAAAGATTTTGAATAATTGGCTTAGTTGGCTAAGAGAGTCCACTATATATAGAAACCCGCGCCCAAAAGATATGAAATTGTAATGCTTCTAAATATACCACCACTACCCCTATTTTGAGACAGGGTCTCACTAAGTTGTCCAGGCTGACCTCAAACTTGGAATCCTCCTGCCTTATCATCCTTCTGAGCAGCTGGGATTTATAGGTATGCACTACCATGCCAGGCCTTAGAAAACAAATTCCTAAAAGTAGAAATCATAACAGGTCACATCCTATTAATATATTGCAAAAAGCCTGAAATTAACAGTGAAAAACTTTCTCCTTCAAAAAAGAAAACACTAACCCCCCAACATTGTTAAGCCATTTTTAAAATAGCCCTTAGGTTACAGAAATAAACAGAACACTACACTACATTCTATGGGATTTAACCAAAACCTTCTTTAGAAAAAATTCATAGCCTTACACATTTTAAAAATAAGCACCCAATTCATAAAACCAGAAGCATACAAAATAAACCAGAAGAGTATATGAAGAAATTAACAAGGTTAAAAATAGATTCTAATGAATTCTCACTTAAACAAACATAGGAAGCCAGGTACACAGGCACATGTCTGTAGTTCCAGCAGCTCAGGAGGCTGAGGATCAGGAGTTCAAAACTTCAGCAACTTGGAAAGGCCCTAAGAACTCAGTTGAATAAAATATTTTAAAAGGGCTGGACATGTGCTTCAGTGGTAAAGTACCCCTGGGTTCAATACCTGGTACCAAAACAACAACAACAACAAAAAAAGTAGGAGCTGAGGGTATAGCTCAGGGATACAGAACAAGTCCAAAGCCCTGGGTTTGATCTCTAGTACCACCAAAAGGAAAAGAAAATTTAATTTTTGAGTTTAAGCCAAGTAAAAGTGAAAAATCCAAGAAAACATGAATAATTTTTTAGGAAAATATAAACAGTCAAAATTGAGGCACAGAGTTAAAAAAAGTCTTGTATAAATCAGTATTAGAAAGAAATTGAAGATCACCAAAGATATGCAAACTTGCTGGGTTCAATGATGCACACCTATAATGCCAGCAACAGGAGGCTGAGGCAGGAGGATTGCAAGTTCAAGGCCAGCCTTAACAACTTAATAAGGCCCTAAGCAACTTAGCAAGACCCTGTCTCAAAATAAAAAATAAAAAGGGGTATAGATATAGCTCAGTGGTAAAGTGCCCCTGGGTTCAATCCCTAGTACCAAAAATAGATTCAGAGTTCATGCCCACATATCTCCCATATTCCTGTGTGTGTTTAGATCTGAGTTCCTCTTTAAGGGAGACAAATCTTATTGAAGAGTTTTGTGGTATACTTAAAATTCCATATTAAGTTGGGGGGGGACAAAATTTAGGTTTGATTTTGTTCTTATTAAGCCAATTTATTAAACATAAAGCATGATGTTAAGTGGTTATGGGGGAGATATATACATAATAACAGACAAAACAATCTTTAAAATTTTTTTGTTCTATGATGAATGGGTTATAGAAGTCAGGGAAGAAATTTAAAAATTTTTAGACTCAGCCAGGTACAGTGGCATTCGCCTGTAATCCCAGCAGCTTGGGAGGCTGAGGCAAGAGGATTGTGAGTTGAAAGCCAGTCTCAGCAAAAGTGAGGTGCTAAGCAACGGGGTGAGCCCTGTCTCTAAATAAAATACAAAATACAGGCTTGGTGGCAGAGCCCTTGCCTAGCACATGTGAGACACTAGGTTTGATTCTTAGCACCACATAAAAATAAACAAAATAAAGGCATTTTGTCCATCTACAACTACAATAAAATAAAATAAAATACAAAATAGGGCTATGGAGGTGGCTCAGTGGTGGAGTGCCCCTGAGTTCAATCCCTGGTACAAAAAAAAAAAAAAAAAATTCTTAGACACAAATGAGAATAGTGATATAATATACCAGAACCTTTGGGATGCTGTGAAGGCGGTTCTAAGAGGAAAGTTGATAGATATGCGTTCCTACATTAAAAAATCAGAAAGATCCCAAATCAACAACCTAATGATACATCTCAAAGCTCTTGAAAAAGAAAAATAAACCAATTCCCAAACCAGTAGAAGAAAAGAAATAATTGAGAGCCAAAATCAACGAACCAAGATCAATGAGCAATATAAAGGATCAATGAAGAAAAGAGTTAGTTCTTTGAAAAGATAAGCAAGATTGATAAGCTGTTAGCCAAGCTAACCAAAAGAAAAAGAAGATTCAAATTAATAAAATTACAGATGAAAATGGAGATATCACCACAGATCATAGAAATC